TAATAAAAAAATATATGGCACAGAAAACTCATCAAATGACTGACATGATTTGTCACATGTTTTGTAAAACCTTTTAAAACATGCAAGTGTTTGCCTCTGAGCCTAGATCTAAATGGGGGGCAGGGGGAGAGGGACAACAATAAATCTATTTAACTTTGTTTACATAATTGCAGCCATACCAGTTTTACATATTACATTATTAGGACATTGGACAATAGATTAAAAAAACAGAATGTTCTAGAACATGAACTTTAAAAATTGGTAAGCATCGTGCACGTTTTCCAAAAGAAGTTTCATTGCGTTGAAACAAAGGTGGCTTCTTGCCACTGAGTGGCTCCAGGGAAGCAGCAAGTCCTCATGCCTTGATCCTCAGCTTGGGAGTGTCATCAACTTGTTTGACTTTGGAATTTTATTCTGTCCCTTCCTATAGCCAACACTGCTAAGCAGTTTAGCTGGTTCTGTCCAACTCTTTTGTTGTTGTTGTTGTTTTGTTTTGTTTTTTAATCCTATGCTTCAGCTTAGGCTATATAAATCCTGACAAGGGATAAAAACTCCTGAGAATTAATTTTTAGATGAACATTATCCTTTTCATTACTACATTTTTTCTCCTTGATTTTTTTTTTTTTTTGATGTCATATGTTTCAGTATTGGAATGCATGCTTATAACTGAGTTTGTTTAAATTTTTGGTTGATAATATGGTGGCACAGTGGTTAAGAGCTCAGCTGCTAACCAAAAAGGTCAGCAGTTCAAATCCACCAGCCACTGCTTGGAAACCCTATGGGGCAGTTCTACTCTGTACTATAGGGTCTCTATGAGTCAGAATCAACTCGATGGCAACAGGTTCGGTTTGGTTTTGGTTAATATGGATTTTGAGAAATATGATCTGGTAATACAAGCCATCACTGAGGCGAATGGCACTCTGGTGCCACTGATGTTTTATGACACTGTACCAACGAGAGCTAGATAAGTAATTTATCGTGGGCGCTTTTCCATCAGGTTACATGGGGAACCTGTGGTTTTCAAAATAGACACAGAAAAACCAAAACAAACCCATCAGGGCTTTCTAACTGTCACACACACAAAACAAACCAAACCCATTGCCATCGAGTTGATTCCGACTCACAGCAACCACACAGGACACAGTAGGACTGCCGCAGCAAGTTTCCAAGGAGCAGCTGGTGGATTTGAACTGTCAACTTTTTGGTTAGCAGCTAAACTCTTAATCACTGTGCCAGCAGGGCTCCAACTATCACACAGGAAAGCCATAATTATGCTTGCAAGCCTTGTCTCACAGAAATAAAGGGAAAAAAGGCAAAAGTTTTACAAAGCTAACACATCCAGGAAGCGTCACCTAACAGAATGCTCAACCTACACAACAATGAGGCTCCAACTCTGTCTGCTCAGCTTGACACATTTCAAAAGGGACCCACATTGATGCTAAATGAAATAGAACCAGAATAACGCCTTACCTCTGAGGTCCAGAGGCATAAAAAGTGGCTGGCATACCATTTATGCAATGGTAATGAAAGAGTTACTCCATGAGAATGCTGTTGGGAAAGGGCTGAGTTTGCATTCTGCCCTGCCATTGTGTGTGTTTGACTTAAGCTTCTTTGAACTTCAGTTTCTTCATTTAACAAATGACAATAACTTTCCTTCCCAGCTTGGTTTGAAACCCCAGATCACAGGGAGATGGTGCATGGAGAAGCACTTGGTAGCTGTTAAGTGCTGTGTGACTACAAACCCATCTCCTAGTGGCCACCAAAGGGACTACTACAGGATTCATAAGATGTGGACCACTGGTATTTCCCATTATCTGTCCTTATTCAAAACCTCACTCTGAGTTTAATTCAAAAGTGAAACTCTTCTTAAACATTTTCTTGTTGTTAGGTGCAGTCGAGTTGATTAGACTCATAGTGACCCTATGTATAACAGAACAAAACACTGCCCAGTCCTGCGCCATCCTCACAGTCATTGTTATGCTGGAGCCCATTGTTGCAGTCACTGTGTCAATCCATCTCATTGAGGGTCTTCCTCTTTTTCACTGATTCTCTCCTTTACCAAACATGATGTCCTTCTCCAGGGACTGATCCCTCCTGATAACATGTCCAAAGTATGTGAGACAAAGTGTCACCATCCTTGCTTCTAAGGAGCATTCCAGTTGTACTTCCCCCAAGACAGAGTTGTTCGTTCTTTTGGCAGTCCATGGTATAGTCAACATTCTTCACCAACACCATAATTCAAAGGCATCAATTCTTCTTCAGTCTTCCTGAAGACTGAATACATCATCCATCTTTTGCAGGCATATGAGGCAACTGAAAACACCATACCGTTGGTCAGGAGCACCTTAGTCTTCAAGGTGACATCTTTGCTTTTCAACATTTTAAAGAGGTCTTTTACAGCAGATTTGCCCAATGCAATTTGTCTTTTGATTTCTTGACTACTACTTCCATGGGTGTTGATTGTGGATCCAAGTAAAATGAAATCCTTGACAACTTCAAGTTTTTCTCCATTTATCATGATGTTGCTCATTGGTCCAGTCGTGAGGATTTTTGTTTTCTTTATGTTTAGTATGTAATCCATACTAAAAGCTGTAGTCAGTGATCTTCATCAGTAAGTGCTTCAAGTCCTCTTCACTTTCAGCAAGCAAGGTTGTGTCCTCTGTATAACGCAAGTTGTTAATGAGTCTCCCTCCAATCCTGATGCCCTATTCTTCTTCATATTGTCCAGTTTCTCAGAGTATTTGCTCCGCATACCAATTGAATAAGTATGGTGAAAGGATAGAACCCTGACGCATACCTTTCCTGACTTTAAACCACGCAGTATCCCTTTGTTCTGTTCAAACGACTGCCTCTTGATCTATGTATAGGTTCCTCATGAGCACAATTAAATGTTCTGGAATTCCCATTCTTCACAGCGTTATCCTTAATTTGTTACGATCCACAGAGTTGAATGCCTTTGCATAGTCAATAAAACACAGGTAAACATCTTCCTAGTATTCTGTTTTCAGCAAGGATCCATCTGACATCAGCAATAATATCCCTGGTTCCATGTCCTCGTCTGAATCTGGCTTGAATTTCTGGCATTCCCCTGTCGATGTACTGCTGTAGCCACTTTTGAATTCTCTTCAGCAAAATTTTACTTGCTGAAGATTAATGATATCGTTTGATAATTTCCGTATTTGGTTGGATCACCTTTCTTGGGAATAGGCATAAATATGGATCTCTTTCAGCCAGTTGGCCAGGTACCATCTTCCAAATTTCTTGGCATAGACGAGTGAGTCCTCTCAGTGCTGCATCCATTTGTTGAAACACCTCAACTGGTATTCCATCAATTCCTGGAGCCTTATTTTTCGCCAATGCCTTCAGTGCAGCTTGGACTTCTTCCTTCAGTATCATCAGTTCCTGATCATATGTTACCTCCTGAAATGGTTGAACATCGACCAATTCTTTTTGGTATAGTGACTGTATATTCCTTCCATCTTAAAGTTTATTTCAAATGCCTTCCCTTTCTAATTTTCTTCTAGCTGTTAATGTCACCTCTCTTCTCCCTAGCAGGAAGATCAGATTTCAAAGTTAATCTGATATTTCTCCTCCCATCTTGAAGTAACCAAGTCCTGTGGATTCTTCCTGTCAACATCCCTGGGACCCATTTCTCTCTTTCTTTTTTTCCCCATGTCTACTCATCCAATTTCAGCCCTTGTATCTTGAGTTACAACAAAATCTCCCTGCCTTGATCCTCTTTTCCCTTTTCTGCAGCCTGCACACTGTTGTCAAATTCATCGATAAATTACTGCATGGATTGTGGCTACATTGCCCTACTCTTAACATCTTCAGTAGCCCCCCATTATATGCTGAATAGGAGCGCCTGTGGTGCATTGGTTAAGTGCTTGACTGCTAACCAAAAGGTCAGCAGTTGGAACCCACCAGCCATCCTGCAGGAGAAAAGACCAGGAGATCTGCTCTCATAAAGATTACAGCCTAGGAAGTCCTATACGGCAGTTCTACTCTGTCATATAGAGTTGCCATGAGTCAGAATAGACTCGACAGCACACAACAACAACATATGTAGAATAAAATCTAATCTGGCCTCAACCTGTTATTCCAGCCTTGGTCACACAGATTTACTTTGCCTGTGACACTCACTGCACCCACCCTTCCTTGTTCTTAGGACTTTGGTCATACCATTTCCAAGGTCTGTTCTTCCTTTCTCTCCAAATCATACCAATTTTCAAGCCCTGCTCAACTTCCACCACCTGCATGAAGTCTTCTTGATGTCTAAAACCTTATAATGATCTAATTTCCTGAAGCATTTCTACTGATTGAATGTTTGAAGAGTCAATAATCAATTATGAACTAATGACCCTTTGATATTGTGTGTAGCTGTCTTCCAGTGCAGTTAACTTACGCCATGTTGTTTACATTTTACTGAGCGCCTTGTACTCTTATCTGTGTTGCCAGGTACTACTTTAAGGCAGGGAATTGTATCATATCCATTTGGTTTCCCCTAGCCCAGTGAGTCTCAACCTTTAACATGGTAAAGAAACCTGGAGAACATGTTAAAAATTCTCCTGGGCTCCAACCCCTAAAATTCAATAAGATTGCTGGTTGTTGTTGGGTGCTGTCGATTTCAACCTATAGTGACCCCATGTGACAGAGTAAAACTTCTCCATAAGATTTTCTAGGCTGTAATCTTTACGGGAGCAGATTTCCAGATCTTTCTTCCATGGATCCATTGGGTGGGTACAAACTGCCAACCTTTTGGTTAGCAGCCGCCAAGTGCTTAACTGTTGCGTAGTTGGGGTAGGCCCCAAAATGTCTGTATTTCCAACAAGTTCCAAGTGATGCTGATGCTGCTGGTTGAGTTGCTCTGCCTTCAAGCATCTCACACAGGACCCACACATGCAAGCGAATATGTATTTATGGATACTGAGTAGCATGTTTTTTTTTTTTCTTTCTTGTCTTCTATTCCAAACTCACGTTGTGTCACTTCTTCTTTTTAGATAGATTTTGAAGATGTGATTGCAGAACCAGAAGGGACACACAGTTTCGATGGCATCTGGAAGGCCAGCTTCACCACCTTCACTGTGACGAAATACTGGTTTTACCGCTTGCTGTCTGCCCTCTTCGGCATCCCGATGGCGCTCATCTGGGGCATTTACTTTGCCATTCTCTCTTTCCTACACATCTGGGCAGTCGTACCGTGCATTAAGAGTTTCCTGATTGAGATCCAGTGCATCAGCCGTGTCTATTCCATCTACATCCACACCTTCTGTGACCCGCTGTTTGAGGCCATTGGCAAAATATTCAGCAATATGCGCATCAACATGCAGAAAGAAATATAAGTGACATTTCGAGGATAGAAGTATTCCTATCTTTTTTTTTTTCCTTTTAATTTTCTTGGTGCCAATTTCGGGTCTCAAGTTGCTAGTACAGCAACAATTTATGAATGAATATCTTTGTTCAGAACAAAGAAATCACTTTCTCCGATTTCATAACTATTGTTTATCTCTTCTGAGCTATTTCATCTATTTTTTTGGTTGTCTGAATTTTTTAAATTCATTTACATTTTTTTCCCTGCCTTTTCAATTTGCATGTGGAGTATTGTTTTATTGGCTGAGATACAGACATACTGTTGAAACAGAAGTTGAGAAGAATATGAAGAACTGAGAAAAAAAAAGAAACCTCAACTGCCTACTCTAAGATGTTGATCATTTTATAATAAGAGAAGAATCTTAGACTACAGCTGTTGGGTACAGAGGTATGTGGGCAGATTTTAAGCAAACTCCACTCACCATCGGAAGAGTTAGTGGATTGCTGCCTTTCACTTTAATGATCCAGTGGGATCTAGTGATCCTTATCAAGTTAGCATACATAATCTTCTGCATTCATATGATCCGACTAATGCCTTACCCTTCTTGAAAGTTTAACCTATAACTTCTGTGCCTGAATATTTGGTAAACAGATAAAAGGACCCAAGTGCCTTCCTGTTTCTCACATTTTCCTTTTCAAACGGGGTCTAACTCATCAGCTTTCATTAGGTCAGCAGCCTTCCTGAAGACCAAAGTTAGAAATTCCATTTCCTAGTTCTTTAAGCTTGTTTCTGACTCTGAGATACAGAGTCTGGTGAAGCGCATTTCTGTGCCTGGTCTTGCAGCATCTTGATCCATATCACATATGGTCGGCAGTAACACCATGAAATGAACTAAGGTGGACGAATGGGGCTGAGCCCTCTCTGGGCTGGTTGGGGCAGAAGCCAACTTCCCCTGCCTCTCATCAGCTGAATGAGATCAGCATGTCTATTCAGCTTCGTTTATTTTCAAGAATAATCATGCTTTCCTGAATCCAAACTAATCCATCACCGGGGTGGTTTAGTGGTTCAACATTGTGTTTCCTTTTTCAGCTGATCAGCGGGCCTCCGGGGAAGGGCTGTCAAAATGGAGGCCATTGTGTGAGACTGTCAGTTGTTGCAAATGTAACCCCTTCAAAGTAGAGCACTTGCAACCCGTGTGTTATGCTGTGACATGTGGCCCCTCCCCAACCAGGAGCTTTGGACCTAATCCAAACATTGTTTTGCTTAGAGGGAAAGAAGATGGGGGAGGAGGCAGTAATAAAAGATTGAGGTAATTTTGCTGGAATAAGTTCAAATTCTTCTGAACTCAAACTGAGGAATTTTACCTGTTAACCTGAGTTATACAGAAAGCTGCCTGGTACATCCAAAAGCTTTTTATTCCTCCTGTTTGTATTGTGATTCTGCCCTTGGGGATTTTTTTAACCTTCAGTTATGCTTTTTTTTTTTTTTTCATATACATATTTGAACTCTGCTTAATTTTTTGGCTTCTTTCATTTTTCCTGGCACTTTATCAACCCTTACCTACTTCTAATTTTTTGCATTTGAGACAGACACTGGCATGGACATAGTTTTACTTTTGAACTGTGTACATAACTGAAAATGTACTATATTACATACTTTTTAAATGTAAAGATATTTTTACCTTTAGAGGAGGAAAATCACTTCGGATGTATCTTGATTCATTCTGTAAACTGTGTATCCTAAGACATGTCTGTTCCACATAGATGCTTAGTCCCTCATGCAAATCAACTGCTGGTCCAAAAGATTGCTGAGATTTTATATGCTTACTGATATATTTTACACTTTTTTATCCAGCATGTCCTGTAAAGATTACAAGTCTGCACAATAAAAATGTTTAACAATTCCACAGTCAGCTTTTTTTATTTTTCCCTGAAACAGATGAGTGTGTGTGTTAAGTATGTCCATACTGTGTATGTATGTGTTTGCAGTGTGTTTGTAGGGAGGGAAGGTTCTTTCACTTCTTAATTATTATAAATAAATCATTTAAGTGGGATCTTTCTGCTAAGGTCATTCATGCATTACTTCAGATAAAAGTTATAAATAACAAGGATTTGTGTAGCAGTTTACCGCATGCTTTGTTATACGTTATCTAATTTGAGCCCCCAACAGCCTTATGTGATGGATATTATTATTCCCATTTGGTAAAGGACACAATTTGCTTCAGAGGGAAATGCACTGAACTTTGCCATGCCTTAACTGGGATTTTTAAAAGAGGTGTATTGTTGACTTTGACTAAGTTTACATCCACCCCTTCCAAAGCAAATTCCACAAAGGGGATCTTCTTTGAATCTATCTCACCCTGAAGCTCCTTTTACGCAGTTTACAGAATCCTTCTCGTTGCTGGGCTCTCAAGCAACCTGTGAGGCTGCTCAGTTAGTAACCTGGTCTGGGACTTGTGTTTACCCAACAAATCCATTTCAAGGACATGACATGGACTCATGCCTCTGAGGAGGGCAGCACAAGAGATCCTGCATTAACCCCAAGTTCAAGCAGAATCAGTGAAGTAACTTTAAATGAGGATCATCTTTCCTTCGGTTTTATTGAGTTTCCAAATGGATGCATATTAACAAAATCAGGGCTCTACTTATTTATACTTGGGCTCAGCCACACACATGAAGCAGCTCCATCTCTGAATGCACAAGTAACGACACGATTTCAGACAAATTTTTACTCCATATTGGAAATAAACAGCTCATACTTCACACATTTAAGTAAATGTTAGTTACATAACAATACACACCAGCCCCGTGGAGTGGGGCTCTGTTGAGTCGCTGACTCACTTTCCCTAGTATTTAAATGTTCCGGTTTTTAAATTATAATCTGTATTTGTAGAATTGGAAATGGGGAGAGATAGAGAAAGCATCCTTAATATAACACAAAAGACAAAACCATAAAAGAAAAGCTCATGGCTGTGAATACATGAAAATATTAAACTTTTATATATCAAAAACAGTAGAAACAAATACAAAATAAATGATAAGGTGGTAAGATAAGGTCTTTCCAATATATACGATACACATAGCATCAGAGCTTTTATAAATCAACAAAGGAAAGATGAGCATGCCAACAGAAAATGGGCAGATATGAAAAGATCATTCACAAAAACTTACCCACCAATCCTATGAAAAAGTTATACTCGTCAGTAATGAAGTAAAAAAAATCAAAGGAATGAAATTTCATTTCACCTAGGAAACTTGCAGAGATCAAAACAGTCTGGCTTCAGAGGCTGAGAGCTAAACCATAGCACCACAACCATAGAGATAGAGATAATGTCAAAAAACAGAAAGCAAGCTGTACCTCTACTGAGAACTTTTTTAGCTCAGTATGGTCAACAATATGGTTGGCAGTTAAAATACAAATTAAAACACTTTTACATCTAAAAACAAAAACTGTTCTCCCAGACTTATGAAATATTCTGATTTAAGGGTTTAAATATAAGTTTTTACAACATAAAAAAAAAAGGTTTACAATAGTGTATATTCAATCACATTATAGTTTAGGGACTTTCATGACCATAAAATGACTATGTGGCAAGTTGACGGACAGTCTTCAGGAAAGAGACTTAAATAATGGTGAGGGGAAAAAAACAAAACAACTCTATTACTTTGTGAAAGTTGTCATAATATTTATATTTATTCAGACCAAAAAATCAGTTATCTCAGTGGAGTTAGATTCGGTAGAGAAACGGAATAGAATCACTTCACAATTAAGATTCAAGCACTTCTTTTTTTCCTCTAGGAGTCTCCATTCATTTACTTGACTCTCTTATTCACTCTCAAATTTGCCCGTTCTTTGAGAAACAATGAATTTTTCTGGGTTTTAGTCATCATCCAACTTACTGGAGCCATCAACACAATCCCCTCCTCTTCCCACAATGTCTGACAAATCGACTTATATTGGCTCCCATCTTCTTTTTTCCTTCTCTTAAAACGAAGATTCCCCACTCCTACCAAAAGCCTTTCCCTCCATGTTGTCCCCTTTTTCCAATTAGAACCCTTAGCATATTAATCATAGTTATTTTAAATTCCCAGTTTGATGATTCTAAAATTTCTGCCATATCTGCATCTGGTTCTGATGCTTGCTTAATTTTTTTTCTTGCCTTTTAGTGTGCCTTGTAATTTTTAATTGAAAGTCAGACATGATGTATCGGGTAATATAAACTGAGATAAACAGGCTTTAGTGTGAGGTTTTGTGTTTATGGCTAGGAATTAGGCTGTGTTTATAATGTTTGCTGTAGTTGTAGGTGTTAGTGTTTTTCTTTTCTTTTTTTTGTATAGTGTCTTTGTTTTTGTCTTCTCTGTTTTGTGTTTCCCTAGAAATCCCTTCTTAACTGGAGTCTGTGTCTTGCAATCAACAGCTATCATTCTGGAACTCTTTTGATGTAGTAGTAAGGTATTAGGAAACAGAAGTATTCCATAACTTATGATTAAATCATTTTTTTTTTTTTTTTTGGTGGGCTTTTGCTTTCGACTACTAACTGAAAGGCTGGCGGTTCAAACCCACCCAGTGGTACCACAGAAGAAAAGTCTGGCGATCTACTTCCATAAAGATTACAGCCAAGAAAACCCTACAGAACTCAGTTCTGCTACATAGCACATGGCATTGCCATGAGTTGGAATCAACTCAAAGGCAACGGGTTATGAGTATAGTTCCTGGGCTGTGACCTTCAGAAGAGTTTCTTAACCTTTTTTTCCTCTCCTTATATAAGACAGGAAGCCTAGAGGGGGCTGGAGTTGGCTAGTTGTCCTTCCCCCAGGTCAGATAAGGCCTTGGTA